CTAAGTGGATCTGATGGGAAATGAGGGTACGGGAGGGTTCCGTGAAAATCGCAGATGGTTTCGAAGTAAGGTAATTTTGGCGGAGAATTCCTTGTGGTTTGAGGCACCTTTGAACGACTGAGCGGCTAGAGCTCGTATTTGTTTCCTTTCACGAGGATTCCATAGGGTATCGTGAAGTTCTTCTGAAGCGACTTTTACCATCTTTTCGACAACAGCCCCCTCGAACCTTGATTTTTACGCACGATAACGCGGCTGTCCATGCCGGTCCTTCCACGCCAGATGGAATTGCAGGAAAAAATGTGGCAGTTATCTGGTGGCCACCATGTTATCTGAATCAGATTCCAATGGAGAATCACAGGGCCTTAATTGTTATAAAGTTCCACAGCAAAGAAAAGCAAAATGGAACAGCCGAAGAGCTGAAAACGTCGATCATCAGCGCGCAGGCAAATTTCGATCCTATTGTAATAGCTAATTTGGTTACCAGCATTCCAAAACGTATTATTGTGTTCCTTATGACTAATGGAGGACCACCACATTATTGAAATTTTTTGACGTTTTTTTTTGTAATAAAATCTTTCGACAAGTAATGTGTAGTCATATTTGCGAAACGGTGAAAATACGTTCTAAAAAAGATATTTCAATAATTCTGAATCGAGATTTCTCCAAAAATCGAGTATCAAGGTTTTTCGTTATGGGGAAACTTTTGGTAATAGCGGCATTTCCCAAAAATGCGCAGCAACTTTGGAGTAGCAAAAATTGAGGGTGGACCTATAATTATGAAAACGCAGTGTACCATACCTATTTTCTTCCTTCTCCTTCTGCTCTATCGAAACACGAAAACAACACCACAAAACAACTTTCACAAGATCATCCCACTATTTCCTCTACTCCGCATATTCCTTTTTCTTTTCTCTCTACTCAAGCTTTTCATCACTCGCAGCCAGCCATCCTACGACTTCCTCTACGACTACTCGGCTCGTCACGACTACTACGCCACTGACGATCTACGAATTCAACGCCTACTTTCCGATGTAATAATCACAGTATTTCGACCAGCGACTCCACTACTCCAGAACAAATCTACATCGGCCGGTACGCCATGGGTTATGTGTGGGGATTTAGATTATGGTTTTTTAAAGTAGATATTGGTGAGGAATAGTTTAGCATTAAGCATGATACTCATTCGATGAGTATTTTCTTATGTCAACATTCCAGTTTCGGATGCCTGTGTGTAAGTTTTGGGCGTTGTGCACGGTTAGTCTCCAAAAAATCTACCTAAGCACATACACTTAACAGCTACAACTGAATAACATCCAAGTGGCGAGGAGGATGCAAACGACAAATAATGCGTTTTCATCAATCTTTTCGTTGTGCGGAGTGTCATGACGTTTCGTCATGATGCGACGAAAGAAACCAAGGTGGATCCTTGACACGTCATCCTATCGATTAACTAACTCAAAAACCGCCGCGTTCAAATTGCCACTGGCCGCATTGCAGTCTGTCTGGCACCCGGCCATTTCCAACGGAACTGCCCCGCGATGACCCGGGTATAAATACCACCGCGATTATTGGGGGTATCATAACTACCGGCACTCGAACGGAGACTCCGAGCAGTCTATCGCGGATCTATTGCGATCGTCTTACTTTTCCGAGTTCTCCAGTCATCTCTAAGCGCGTCAATCAAAACAATGCGACTTCCGGGTCGGCACCAAAAACTAAGGCGGCAACGCCAGGGCAAAACCAATAAGCACAGGCAATTCTAATATTGTGTAGGTGACAGCCAGTTGGATCATTCACAGCGGCCAAAGTACCACGCAATCATGTCACTTGATCAAGAACCACCAACTAAACTGCTCCTCAGCCACTACAATTACCCTTAAGCACAAATCAATATCGAGGAAGTTAACCCAATTACGGAGACCCAGAGCACAGGCTAACCAACCATCACGTTAACTAGTGTAGGCAATAAATTGTATAAGTTGTGATGTATGCAATACTAATAAATGTCTTCAAGAGTTGTGAAATAAGAGATGCTAATAAATGTTAACGTAATTTACAAGTGATTATTCCAATAAAGAAGTTAACTCCTCTAGTTGCAATTATATAGAGCAGTCTTGCCACTCTACCTTGAAACAAAGGGGTAGTGGTGGGAGGAATGAAGAGGAAAACGTCAGGCTCTACGAATTTCATTACTTGGGAATGTTTGGCATCATTTCAGTTGTACTAACTGATGTCTTATCCTTAAATTTTATCAATGTGTGGTGATGGCGATTTTCGCAGTTTCGACCCGCCTATTAAGTCAGTGAAAAATTTCGTAATGTCCGGCGCATCCATCTTGTCCGGCGTACAGATAAATCTATTAGAAAAGGACACTTGGAGCTTGGATAGGAAACACGCTGCCACCCACATGTTTACATCCGCAGATTCTGTGCCCAGATGTGTTAGCCTGAGATATCCGTATTAGGGTTGGAAGCAGAGAGTCAACCCTGCGTTGCGCAGTTCTCAACGGCCACGTTGCGCAGTTTCGCCCGATTAGACACGTTCTCTCGCGCGAACATTCACACTCGCATGCTCGAGCCGTCTGTGTCTCCGCCCATACAGCGTGCGTTGAGGATCTCTCAACGTGCCGTTGCGAACTGCGCAACGCAGGGTTGACTCTGGTTCCAAGTTGCTCGTGATCTATGCTGATGGGAATTAAAACTGATCCACATTTATCGTCCTTACACAAAAACCCTGTGTGGCGCGCTTGCTATCGACAATTTTATGGGTGGTGTCTCTTGTGAAGAGTTCGGTTTCCGCTTCAAAGCGTAGGTCGACTGAATTCCATTTCAACTGGACTTCGTGTATTGGAGTCTTGTTAATTAGAAGGACGTAGGCATGCTTCTCGCGTGAAAGCGTCAATTTTGAGGACCACTTGTAGCCGTATTCCTGACATGGCTTTGAGCATGGTCCGTGCAAAACGGATTGAGTAGTGTCGAGTACAATATACCCACAATTGAGCACAGGTCACTTTGCTCGTCCCCTATTCGGAGAATTCTCCAGAATCGCCCTTTCAGGATTTTTTTCAGAACCTTCTCTCAATCTTCATGACCAGTGATTGTAAACTTTCTTTTTTTCTGATAAGTCTTGAGCACATCCGCTGTCGTCGCTCATTTTGGGTTTCTTATGCTGATACTCGTTCTTCGTCCTACTCTTCTTTTTCAGCGCTTTCATGAATTAGATGTATGAGGTACTCCTCATCGGCGAGAACAATACTGAGAGATAAACACGACAGTCGAAAGTCGTGGAGGAAATTTTCTCCACTATTGTTTACACTTTCAATTCTCCACTATTTCAACAAATCGTTTTCAGGGTCGCGTGATGCTTGAATTAGACCATAAATCAACAAGAACACACAAACATCGGGTTAAGAAGTCGTAGTTAGTTTTGCGCAGGTGTACGTTAAAATTCTAAAATTTTACGAGTTACTTTAAACGTTATATATGCCGTAGGTACTGTGAGGTAGAGGAGAATTGCCGTTACAGCAATTGCAATTCTTGGCCAGCATTCGGGGTTTGAAACCATTTGTGTGCAAAAGTTGCATTTGATTTGTTCGCAAAAAGGGCTCGGAGGACAAGCCCAGTGGGTGGCCTCCGTGGCATTTTTAATTACTGATTTTAATGTGAATGTGATATGTGTGTAATGTTACTTCAGGTGGGAACTGAACGGTTATGTTGTGGTCTGGCTCTTTTATTTCAATGCAGTAATCATTTCCACAGACTTGTATTCGTTCTGGTTGTTGATGTGACTGTATATTGATTCCTCCTGTCACACAATGAAGAAGTGGTGTGTGTTGGTTATGTGAGGTTGTAGGGTTAATTAATGTAAGCGCTAGTGCTATAGTGAGCCAGTGTTTCCATAACGTGAATTGAGTGGCTGGCTGGCTGCGGTTAAAATGTGTATCTCTTATGTTCGTTGTCATTGTATTGTAAGTGTAAGTTTTGTTTACTTTTGCCTGTCGCGGAAGAATCGGGCGTGAACGCAGACCGTTAGTTATATTAGGTTTTGCTGAGTCTGATGTGTTAGCATTCGTTGTTTCGCCCGTTTGCGTGTGTAGCTTTGTTTCACTGCTTACTGTTGCAGTGTTATCTTCGGATGGAGTTTCTCTTGTTTCGTTGTCTAGTTCTGGAGGTATTAGCATGTTGATTGATCTTTCAAGATTTGATTTTGAAGTTCGTAGTTTAACTGATCTGACTGCACCATCTTGGTCTTGAATTAGACTAGTTACGAGTCCTAGTGGCCAATCGATTCGGGGGATTTCTTCATCCATGATGAGAACCACTTCTCCGACACGGGGCTGCTTTCTGGTAAAGCTCTTTTGTTTGATACGTCGTTGATGGTAGTTTCTCAATTCAAGAAGATACGCTGTGTGCCAAGCTTGCCACAGGTGCTTGAGATAGTTTGATTGGTTTTGTAGGTATTTAATGGCTTGATCTTTCGTTGAGATTTTGGGTATGTATTCTGGGTCGTTGTTGTCGCTCGTAAGGTTCGTATTTAGTAATGGATTGATGTTAGCGTTAGGTATGAGGAAGTCAATTGGACGGATTATTAACGAGTCTTCGATAGTGCTTCCTGAGTACGCAAGTGGTCTAGAATTTACCATGGCTTCGCATTCTGTGACTATTGTTGCGAAGTCTGTTTCATCTAGTATTCTTTTTGCTACCACGCGTTTTAACGTTGACTTCATAATGCCAATTAAGCGTTCATAGAAACCGCCTTTCCAAGGGGAAAGAGGTGTTATGAATTGCCATTGTATTTTTTCATTGGTTAGAAAAAGTTGTGTTACTTTAGCTTGTAGGATGTCTTCGTTCTCCGTGGATGTAAAAAGTTCATTGCTAATTAGTCGCGTTGTCTGATATGATGAGTTGCGGTTTGCCTCGTCTAGAAATTAGTCTTCTGAGGACATTGATTATTTGTAAGTGCACTTAGATCACTTCGAGATGTATTGCCCTTGTAGTCATGCAAGTAGATAGAAATATCCATCTTTTGATTTTGTTGTGGTCTGAATCAATGATGGTGAATGGTCCGGCTAAGTCGATTCCAATGTGTGAGAATGGTTTTGTTGGTTGGGTTCTGGCTGTTGGCAATGGTGGGGATGTTGGGTAGAAGTATGGCTTGCCGTTCCATTTCTTGCATGTGGTTGCGTAAAACGTCATCTCCAATTGGCTCGACCGGCCTTCCATATTAGCAATACGTTGCTATATAGTTTTTATTAATTATTGTTAGGTAGTGTTACTAGGTGTTTTATTTTCTTTCTAGAGTGTTTAGGTTTACATTCATGTTTTGATGTGCGTGCCGGACATAGTGAAGCTCCCTTAAAATAGTGTTGAGAATGCCTTCGATCGGTATTGGTAGGGGACGTTATAGAAATTTCCTAGCCACGCGGGTCTTCTTCTGTTGAGGTCCAGTTCTTCACTTAGATTTATTCCAGCAGGCGAACAGCGAACAGCTAAGGCGATACAGATGACACAAAGCTACAGGCTGCGTCTTCACACTGATTATATACTAAAGAGGATATATATATATATCCGTGGTTGGATAAGATATGCAAGAAAAACAAAGCTTTTTCCTACGAAAAACTTCTGTTTTGCTACGATATTGGGGTTCGAATGCATGAAGCAGAGTTTCACGACATTTTTTTCTAGGGACAAAGTTTAATGAATATTTTGGAAGTTATGGATGGAAGTAACAAAATGGACAACGATAACAAAGGGATAGGAAATTGAATTGTTCTTATTACCGCACGGAAGTGCTCGGTCGAGGTGACTGGTCACGATGAACTCCGTGTTGCCGTTCCTTTTGTTCGTAGCTTTTGCGCATGCGTTCCTTTGTCTTGTCGGTCTTACGGAAGAGCTCGCTTTCTTCTTCTCGACTGCGACGTCTACTTTCTTTCAATGCGGGCTTGTCAAATTTCGGGGCTTCCTTGCTCTTTTTTGTTCCAAAATCCGCCGATTTGTAGATGCGATGCTTTTCATGACCGAACTGACGGTAGCTTCTGGGAATCATCGGAGTTCGTCCTCCCAGTTTCTTCGAATCGTTCGGTCTTTCTTCTTTTCTTCTACGTCTCACTTGCTCTTCAATTGGGCTAGCTGCCAACGCTACTTCGCTCGACTCTGCAGCTTTTTTCTTCCTTCTCGGCTCTTCTGGTCTCGTCGACGCTTTAAACAAAGTCACGACAAGACCGTGAGCCTGTCAAGACCCCAAGGCTTGCTGCATTTGGGGCGATCAAAACTGGACGGTTTGGACAAGATCTCAAGACTGTCGTCTTTAGCTTCAAGGACTCTAAACAAAGATCTAATACATAGCGTTTATAAATATTAGGTCACCCTGAATTTTGTTTTCGATTAGTGCTGCATTTTGGGAAAATGTTGCTATGACCAACTGTTCCTATAAGAGAAACATGAATTAATTTCTGATGGAGAATATAACGAGGTTTGAGCGATGACGTTGCTCTTAGATTATTGAGCCGTCAAGATCGCACTCCCAATTCTCCTGAAGCGCTCAACTCATGAAACGGAAGAGCATGCGCTTCTAAGACCCTTCGCGATCTTTTTGATGACTTGCTTGTCTTCGTGTTCCGGTGATTTACGGGCAGCCGACCACGGAAAGTTGGCCAGTGATCTATAGAAAAAGGTAACGGAGGATCGGTGAAAGTCTCGCCGAGGTTTTCAAGCAAGCGTTATTTCGTGAGCAAAGGACCTTATTTGTTTGGGATCTAGTGAACAATGAAAGTTGGCTAGAGAGCTCATTGGTTGTCCTTTGAGTGAATTCCGTAGATGTCGTAAATGTGGCGGTTTCATCACTTTTTCGACAATAACCCTCGATCCGTCATTTTTATGCACGATAACGCGGCTATCCACGCCGGTCCTTCCACGCCAGGTGGAAGTGCGAGAAAAAATGTGGCATTTCCCTAGTGGCCCGCATGTTCTCTTGATCAGATTTCAATGGAGAATGATTTGGGCCTTAATTGTAAAAAAGTTCCACAGCAAAGTAAAGCAAAATGGAACAGCCGAAGAGCTGAAAACGTCGATCATCGGCGCACCAGACAAATTTCGATCCTAATGTAATAGCTAATTTGGTTACCAGCATTCCAAAACGTATTATTGTGTTCCTTATGATTAATGGAGGACCATCCCATTATTGAAAATTTAACGTTTTTTTGTTGTAATAAAATCTCTCGACAAGTGATGTGTAGTCATATTTGCGAAACGGTGAAAATACGTTCTAAGAAGATATTTTAATAATTCTGAATCGAGATTTCTCCAGAAATCAGTATCAAGGTTTTTCGTTATGGGGAAACTATTGGTAATAGCGGCATTTTCCAAAAATGCACAGCAACTTTGGAATAGCAAAAATTTAGGGTGGACCTATATTTATGAAACGCAGTGTATTATTACTGTACATTTAGAACGTGGCCAGTAGCTTGTGTCACTGAAAGGGCGAGCAAGAACTGGCAAGATCAAGAACTGGGTCAAGAAGCATACACCACAAAACTTGTGCTGTCCCGGAGCCTCATCAGCACCTAAATATTGTATAACACAGAGAGGCACCAAAATTTTATTTCAAAAGAATTCCAAAAGTTCACAAAATTCAAAAATTCCAAAAAATTCAAAAGTTCCAAAAAGCAAGAAAAGTTTAAAAAGAATTCCTTTGAAATCTTCCGCGATATTTCGGTGTATAACACCTTCTTCAGGCCTGAAATACATTGATTATAGTTGGTATAATTGATTTGGTGTTTCTTACACCCATATTGATACCCACATGTGTTTGCCACAGCCAAAGTAAAGCTGCCCTCACGGGAGCCGTGCCGTTGGAGTGAAAAGAACTGACTTACAGCTAACGGTCGATATGGGTGTAAGAAACAACCAAATCAATTATACCAACTGTAATCAATGTATTTCAGGCCTGAAGAAGATGTTATACACCGAAATATCGCGAAAGATTTC